CATTTATCCTTTTTCATAAAAGGACTATAATTTTACTGGGACCCCAACAACAAGAGTTGTTTATAAGGAAGTCAAATACAAAGAGAATCCCTTTTTCTGAAGGCTAATTTCTAAACGAAAAAAAAAATCTTACCTATTATTTAGTCATATGTGGTAGGTCACACGAAAGTTACATGTAACTGAAGGCCCAAAAAGAGCAACAATTACACAGTAAATAGTAAATAGTAATACCCAACAGAGGATCTCAGCTGAATGAAAAATGAGTATAGGTTAGAGAGACAAAAAATATTTCTTAAGGAAATATGATTTAAACTCATCCTTGAAGGATGTTATAGAACAGAAAAAGAGAAAGAAGAAAAGAATTCTAGATAGAAAGTGGATGCAAACAAAGCCTGAAAATTGAAATAAATAAGTTGAAACAGGAACAGTAGATGGTTAAGGGGTTAGCCTGTTAAGATAGGTAGGTTCAAATTGGAAACTAATATAGGAGAGATTAGATAGATAGATAATTGATGGGTGGATCACCAGGCTGAGGAATTTGGACTCTGTAAGTCTATGAAGTCTCAGGGAATGAAAAGGGATGCAATGAGGAAATAGATACTTAATTCTCATGTCCTGAAGTCCCTAACGGACCTAATCCCTCCAGAGAGAACGCATTAGATTTTGAAAACTTTGATTCAGAAACAAGTGAGGGCAGCAGTTGGTTCCAAACGCCTGGCTACAAGGCCCCAACGGCAGCTGTTTATTACCGGCATCGGGTGGGTAATGGTCAGGGCGTGAGTGTTCCCTTCAGCTTTCACATTTAGTCCTGGAGGTCTCTCTGGGGAATGTAACTAGAACGGAAATTTTGGGTCATAGAAGTTGGACATTTTTCAGTTCTACTAAATATTAGGCAACCAGTCTCCAAATAACAGTATGAATTTATGCTTCCACCCACAGGGTATGAAGAAGTTTTCCCATCACTCCACAACCTTGCCTACACTTGCTTTACTCACTTTTTATTTTTTGCCCCTGTTGGGTATAAAATGATACCTTGTAGTTTTGATTTTTATATCTTTGATTACTAGTGAGAAAGGCATTTGGATTTTCTTTTTCATGAATAGCTTATTCCTGGACTTTCCCCTATTTTCCTATTAGGGTGTTCATCTTTTTCTTGCTTACTTGTAGGGATTCTTTATATATTTATGTGGCATTAATAATTAACATTTATTGTACTTTACTTGCATTAACTCATATAATTATCCCAACAACCCTACAAAGTATACATTATTCTTATCCTCAATTTACAAATGAGGAATTGTGTCACAAGGAAGTTAAGTAACTTTTCTCCAGGGTACAGTGCTAGTAAGTAGTAAAGCTGGAATTCATACTCGGCCAACTGGCTCCATACTCTTAACCACATCACCTCTCCTATACTTCATGTATGCTGGATATTAATCCTTTTCCAGTATGTGCATTATATAATAATTACCATAATTTTTTTGACTTTCCATTTGAAATGCAAATATATACAAAAAGGAAATGGTATACTGAACTCCTATGTTCCACTCCATCACCCAGTTACAACCATTTCAACTCAGAGCTGGTCTTGTTTCATCTCACTCCACCCCTCCCCTATAATTATGAAGCAAATCCCACACATTTCCTCCACAGACACTTCAATCTATTTCTCTAAAAGGACTTTTTAAAAAAATAGCCACACCACTGTTGTTACACATAAAAAGACACGATTCTTATTTTTAGTTAAATAAATTTTTAATTAAGTAAAACAGTATTTTTAATGAAGTAAAATTTTGGGGGAAAAATCCTTTCTTGAACAATGCTCTAACTATAACTGCTACAAAAGTATCATCTGGTTAGTTTTGCTTTCTACTTGAAATACAAAGCCAATATTAGTAAAACAACTCCCTATAATTAAAGAGGAGAAATGGGAAAATGATACTTGTAAAAGTGGAAGGGCTAAGCCCAGAAAATAATATACCAACTGATCTCTTTCTCATCATTTCTAGCCCCCAATGTTATCTGAGTCTTCACCCAAAATTGTAGGGACTCCAGGGTCTGTGGCAAGGACAGTGGTATGCAGCCTAATTCTTCATTCAACAGAACCCACGAACAGTGTCGGCAGGAGACTGGCAGTGAGAGCCAAGATAGGGAGGAGAAATGGATTTTCAATGATTTTCCTTGTTCCGGTAAGCCAGGTATTATGAGTATTGATGGCAGCCGGGAGTGGGGCATCCTCCTGAGTAAAGGAATGGGCCAGAGAAGGCCTTTGTCTGACATCAAAGTACAATCGCTGCTAACCTGCTCTCATCAAGCCCCAAATCCTAGTCTGCCTATCATTCTGAAAACCATTTTGTCAGCTGGCCCCTGTTGTCTGCTTCTGTGTTAACTTTTTTCCTGACAAGGGAAGTATCAACTATACCAGGTGAAAAGGAAAGCAGGCAGTTTATCTTCTATTATCTAAACCCCACACTCAGCAAGAATCAAAATTAGTTCCCATTTCTCTCTATCCTGAACAGAAACAAAACCCTGTAAAGTTTATGTTCAATTAAAGCCTGGTCCCACCCGCATCAACATTCCCTGAGCTTATCAACAAGAGAGACAATGCAGCCTGAGTTACACAACTTCAATTATTTTCTGAGGAAAGTTCCTACTTTGACATACTAAAAACAAAACAAGCACCAAAAACCTAACAAAATAATCAACTCTGTTGAACCGCCAGCTGTCTCCTCTTTAGGAAGGAGCTGGTGTGTGACTAGCAGCAGCTGCTCTTCTGACCCCTATGTCCTCCCAGGGCTCACACACTCAGCAGAGGGAACTCATGCTCCAGTCAGATGCTCTCGCCTTGAGTCCTAACCCACATTTTACGGGAAGCCAGTGCTGTCACAGAACATGCTGCCTGTCTCTCTGGCTACAGCTGCCCTCAAGGCCTTGTGAACAGCCTGCTAGTGAGGGAACAGCTCCCTGAAGACAGTTCCTTCAGAGACCAGTAAGGGTTTCAGACTCCTTGGCCTAAGGGACTTTCATTCTGACAGGATTTCACACTAATCTTGAAAGGTTAAGGATTTACCTCTCATATAGGATGGTCAGTCTGTGGTCCCTATGATGGAGAGAGCCTCAGAAACACACCAGCCATATGAGCTGACACTTAGTCACTTAGTTCTTTGGCCTGGGTTATTACTGAGTGGCCCAGATGTGTCTGCTCTGAAGGGGTAGAAGGGATGGGATGCTCAGACTATGCCACATCCCAATTTGATTCATATACTGAACAGCAAAAGAATCGCACACTGTCGATACTGTCCAACTTCAGCTCATGTTCCAAAGGTGTCTCCCACCAATCTCTTCTTTAAGATTCCTCATAGAGCTGTTCAGAACCTTTCCCTGTCCAACATGGTGATCCCATACTAAAAGGGCCATTATCTAGAATTGATTTCCCCTAGGAGATCCTTAGAGTTTTACACCCCAAACTCTGAAAATCTCACACTTGATTATGAGCATGTATCTTAAAACATTATGATGGCTCTACAACTTCACTTTAATGCCAGTGAAACAAGCAATCAGTTCAGCAGTTGGTTTTATCCCCAATTACTCTACATCCACTTCATACAAAGATAAAAGTTGACTGACATTCCCTCTTATCTGATGAAACTCCAGCACTTGTACACCCACCCCAGCAGCCTCACTGTCAGCCTTCCCACCACCCACCCACCCACACACACACACACACACTTCTATATGGAAAAGCCTCAAAGATGCCTCTTGCACAACCACATAATAAGCATTTTTCAATGGCTACTTTTCCATCCAACTGCTGGGAGTCTCCCAATCTGTTATAACAAAGGGCACTGACATAAGCCTGTTCGTGGCAGAGGTTCATCTCCAAAGGGAACATTTTAAGCACAAATCAGTTCAGTGTCTCTCCTCAGCTTCATGCTATTCATGACAAGCAGGGCACAGTAGGTAGGTTACACCCCTGCTCTGCAAACATCAGGGCAGCTATCCAGAGCCTCAGCAAGGAAAATGCCCTACTTCTTCTTCCATCTCTTGGTGCTCTAGGATCCTAAAGTTTTTCTCTTCTGGTGCAGAGGCTGACAAACCACCAAAATTTCTTCAGTCATTGGTGACTTACAACTTCAGTCACGTACACAATCACACACCTCCAAATCAATCACACACCTCCTCTGCCACCAGGAGCTTGCTGAGCCCTTCTCCGCTCCCAGTGTCCAGACCTCTTGAATTCTCACTTGCTTCTTGAACCTAAAAACATTCACAGCACCTGCCGCCATCACCACCTAAGCCTCAGTGTATACCTCCCAATCAAAAACTTGTTAAAGCACAAACAAGTCCAATCAGAAAACAAATTTTGTAAACTTGAACCTTCAAACTGCCCTTACCCTCCTCTCTTTGGACTAATCTCCAGGTAATTCTATGCCCCTCTCCTCTAATGCTGAAGTTAGGAACCAAAGGAGGATTAGCCCTCTCCAGCTACACAAACAGTGAATGTGTGTTGTCCTTAGTGGGATAACACCAGGTCTAGGAAGATCATCACTCTCCAGGGAGCAGAGCAGTCACACTGAAGAGGGCTGCCTCACCCTCAACCCCTTCCACACTCCTTTCAGAGATCCAGCCAGGACCCCCATCACCCTTTGTGCCATGCCACACCTTCTTGGAGCAGGAAGCTGAGACAGACCCCTGAGGCTAAGTGCTGTCTAGCTCAGCACCTTGAGAGAAACCCACCAGACAGCTCCAGCAATTATGCTGCATGGTTACGCACGACCAGGGAGTCCCCAGAGACAACAAGACTTGGTTTCAAGCATCAAGGGGCAGACCTGAAATAGATTCTGCTTGCCAAGTCCAGCAGCCACTAACTTCCAGTACCTGACCCTGCAGTAAGTTTGAGAAGAAGCAACAAGAGCCTCACTGCCCACCACATTCCACGTGACCAAGTATGAAGGCCAGGAGTCCAAACATGAATACAGCCCTTGCACACGCCCACTCACCTCCTCCAGACCCCATGATGGGGTGTGACTTGCCTCCAAAGAAAGAGTGCCATCCTCTTCTGAGAAGGATGTGGAGCTCTTTTCAGGCTCTGTATCTTTAGGCCGGATCCCACGTAAGTGTGGCCCATCACTGCCATAGCCGGAGGAGGAGGGCAAAATGCTCACAGTCATGCCACTAAGGGATAAATTGCTCTGAGAAGTAGGCAGTCTGGGGTGCTGGGGGGCCACTTGTCCCACGTAGGCCAGTTCTGTGCATCTATGGCCTCTCAATTGGTCCAGCAACAATGTAGGAACAGAGTTTTCTGCAATCCTGGAACCTGTCTGAGAGGTACTTAAAATTTCCTTGGTTTCTGCTCCCACACTCCAGCCTCCTGTGTTGGCAGGGCAGTCTGTCCGAGGGAAAGTGCTGCCCCGAAAGCCAAGCTGAGCATCTCCGTCCCCCGCTGCAGTTCCCCCTTGCAGAGGCAGCAGCACAGCCCTGCTGCTGCAGGATGCTGCCCTTGGGAATTCCACCAGTTGGCTCACTGACTTCTCACAGTTCCTTTCTGCTGGGTTATCAAGCAGGTGAGCGATCACAGTCATCCCCTCTTCCAGGGAATCCCAGACCCCTCCGGCAACCGATGACTCATTCTCTAACAAAAGGTGAGCAGTCTGGACCTCCCCCTGGAACCTCTCCTTTACCTGCACAACCATTCCCTGAGCTCCCAGCCCTGAGCTGGGGGCCGAGTCCCTAGGCAGTGAAATATCTGTAGGGGGATGCGGTACCCCTCCCACTCCTTTCTCCTTTCGGAGACTCACTGTGAACTTGGTTAGGGTTTCAGTCTCTTCAATGACTCCGGTTCCTTGCAAGGGTTCTTCCTCACGAGATACCTCTGGAGTAAGGGTTTTCTTCCCCCTCCACTTCCTTCTGAATCTAACCCTTTTCTTAGGAGATACAGGAGCCTTCTCAGGAATAGCTATTGACTCTTTCGGCTCCTTAACACAGCCCAATGAATTTCCCATCGCTTTCCTCTCCTAATCTCAGCAAAAACGCAGCTAAGCTGGTCCTGGGATCCCAGAGAAATCCTAACCGTGGCTTCATTGGATTAGATGCACACTTAGAAACATCCACTATGCCGGCAAACCCTCCGATTCTTTCTCCCTCCCTCCCCAACTCCTGTCTCTTCCAGCCGCTGCCGATTCAGACAGCCATCTTACAGGCTCAGAGCTGCAACAAGACAAATTCAAAGCATCTCACTGCAGTTCAGAAATCACTTGACCTAAAAGCAGATGGAAACCGGATTGGCTGCAGCTTCCTCTCTCCAAATATGAGGTAATTGGAGCACTGCCCTCAGAAACACAAACAGAAAGCAAAAACGAGCTAGAAACCAGGGGAGGGGAGAAATTAGGGGGGGTGAGGAGGGGAGGATTGTAAGAGTAAAGGGAAAGGGAGGGGGAAAGAAGGGAGGCCTCGGGAGAAGGTAACATGAAGGAGGAGGAGAAAGAGGGAAAAGGCAAACCCAGCATGCTGGTACCGACCAGCCAGGGAAGGACCAGGAACCAGGGCTGGGGACGCTGCAGTTACGGCCCCCGGACTCTGAAAGGAAATTGATTTTAATTGTTGCATCAAAACGTCCAAAAGAAAATATCAACCAAGATAGATAAATTTTCATTTTCTTTCAGGTCAGAAAAAATAAAATTATTTTAATCAAATTATAACCTGAAGAGAAACCAGAGCTGACTCCTCACAGTTAAGAAAAGAAACACAGGCTTTAAAGATTAGCCTCCTATAGCATTTACTTCCCTCTTGCCTCCCAAAGACAAGGGGGGTGGAAAGGAAGAGAAACATCTGTTAACTCTGCCAGCCAGTGACACAGAGGAAAAGCCCAGAAATCAGTTTTGCGTATAGTATACAGCAGCCTGAGAAAAAGGATACCAGCTCCTCATACCACAGGGACATGGCATCGGTGCTGAACAGCAGTTGACACAAATGTCCCGCAGTGATTACTTATGCTGCCAGTGGCTGACGTCGATTCGGCTTCTGCATGTGCCAAGCACTGTGCTCAGCTGCGGATTACCTCATTTAATTCTAACAGTAACCACATGCTGTCAGACTCTTTACATTCTCATTCTATAGGTAAAGAGACTGAGGTTTAAGAAAGTTGATTAATTTTCTCAACGCTACACAGCTAGTAGGTGGCAGAGCCAGAACGTGAACTCCTGTTTACACTTGTAATTTCAACTCCATGTTAGATTACCCTTTAATGTGGAGGGATGGAAGTCTGCACTTAGTTCAGTAAAATGGGAAGATACCCTCTGTTCTAAATTGGCAACTAACTCACATGGACCAAGGACTCACACAGAGGTAACACTATTTGGGAGTAAGAGAGGAAGTTGCTGACATGAGGCCCAGATGGCTTTTACTCAAATTGCAGTAGGGCAGGAAGTCTGAATTAAAGGTCCGAAAAGTTGGATTAAAAAAAATCACCCTATTATATCAGTGGGATTCACCCACCCCAGTTTTTTAGTACAGTGTCTGACAGATAACACCACAACCCAAAGGTCTGAATGGAGTGCAAGGAAAGAAGTTATACATGTTTCTTCCCTTTTGCAGCTGTTCATTTTATAGCAAAAGGATCCAGACCAGACAGCAGAGAGAAATAGCCTGCCTGGCTCTATGTAAGCCCTGCGCACCTCTCCTGGAGACCTGAAAGACGCCTTCTCCTACAGGAAAGCACTGAGAAGCCCCAAGGCACCAACTTCTCCCGTCGCTTGCTTCGGAGGCCCACTGGCCTCATGGGGGCAGTAGGTGCGTCCCCTACACCTTTTCCTAAGGCCAACGGCAAAGCTGCAGCGCCATCTTATGGCCACCATAACCAAAGCAAGAAACAAAACAAGGAGACAGCATGGCAGAAATTCAAACTACAGGAAATCATTTATCAGCACAAAATCTGACATTACAACGGAATTCTCCAGGTAAGCACCAGGCCTTTACTCTTCCAAAGAAGACAACTGGAACTACGGGACTTTCGAGATGCACACCCCAAGGCCTAAGCTTGAATTTTTATTCATGAAATACAGGCAAACTAAATTTCTGAAACTGATCAACTCAGGGGCAAGAGAGATGGCTGCCTAATATGACTGTGGCTGCTGTACGGTTTCTCTGACAGAAAAGCCTGACATAACTTAGCACATTCATTTGTGGGAGCCTTTTCTTTTTTAAACTTCTGCAATTTGTTGGAACAAATCAGGCCCTCATTTCCTTCTGCTCCAGAGGAAAATTGTCCAGGAAAGGAGCAGAGAGATTTCAGTAAGGTAGACCTAGGCTCAAATTCCCAGCTCTGTTAACTTAGTAGCTAAGTAACTACCTTGCTAGGTGACTCAGTTTCCTTACCTGTAGAATGTGGGTACCACCACCTACTTAATGGGATTGTAGAGAGGGTTAATCAGATAATGTCTATAAAGTGCTTGGCTCAGTACCTGGTCTGTGGTAAATCCCTTTTCTTCCCATTTATTACCAGAGCTATAGGGTATGAGTCGTACCACCACCACCACAGTCCTAATTTCCTCTTTTTCTTGACTAGGCTGCAAGAAAAGTAGTTATGTTTATGTTTCAAAGTACAAAATGTGGGTGCTTATTTTCCTTCACAGGGGCTCTGCTTTCACCATCATACTCAGAAAGTTAACATGATCACGAGGACTTTCCCCTGGACCTTTTTCTCATCCAGCCTGAGCTCTGAACACATGGCCTCCTTCCTTCCAGAAAAGCAGACTTCTAGAGTCCACCTATTCTTCCTATCTTTGCCTTTGGCTTTTTCTAGTTAACTGTTTACTGTCAATAGGTCTTCCACAGAGACAGCCAGAGTGAAAGAGTTCATTCGTTCATTCATTCCACAAACATGAATGGTGCCACCAAGCACCAAGGGCCACAAAGTGCACAAAAATGTGAGACCCAAATCTACCCACCTAAGGTCACTGTTTATCTGAGCTCCCTGAATCTTTTTTTTATTTCAGAGTGCTAGACACACACTACTATTTAAAAATCCTTGAAAGTCGGAAAGCTAATTTTATCAGATGCTGACTTTCAAGAACTTATCTTTTAGAAAAATGATAAATTTTAACATGCATCATAAAACAGGTTTGGATAAAACCAAGAGACAAGAAATAATTAGTATATGAATGTGTAACCCATAAAGGTCAACTGGTCTCTGTGTTTTGGTTGCACATCTGATCAATTGGCACTGGAAACAGACATCACAGCCTACTTATTTGGTCTACCTACCCCATGGCTTTGAGAAGATCAAATTCATGAAACATCCATTCACTTAACAAATACTTACTGAGTACCAAAGCTGGGCAAAGAAGGAAACAAAACAGACAAAAGTCCTGCCGTTAAGCTCGCATCCTAGTGCAGAGATCCAGACAACACGTGAACAAGTCAGGCAGTAGCAGGTGTGATCCAACACAACATGTAAGTCATACCATGCTTTGGAGAATAATTTGGCAAAATAAAGGAAACTGATAACCTAGCAACTCTAGTCCAAGTTTCTACAAAGAAAAAGAACAAGACAAAACAGTAAAAAAAAAAAAAGAAAAAGAAAACCCACTTTCCTATATGTAAAAGGACACGTGTACACAGATGTTCCCTGCAACAGTAAATGCCTTCTTCACATCATTAAATAACAGCTGTGTTGCACAGCTGGAGGGGGCTCCACTCACATTAGACTTCATATAAATTAGTTAAGATGAACAAATCAGATCCTCCTTCATCACCACAGATTAACCTCAAGAAGAAAGTTCAGTTTAGAAAAAAGCCAGGATATATAGAAGATACTATTTGTGTCAAATAGAAAATTATACAAATAACAGCATATATTATTGTTCAGAATACCTCATCTGTCATAAAAATATAAAAGCTTATATGGGAATGATATACATCAATTTTAGGACATTATTTACCTAGGGGGGCAAAGGAAGTAAGAAAGTTGGCTGTATCTGAAGTGTTTTATCTCTTTAAAGAGAAAAAATCTGAAGCAAATAAAATATTAGTATCTTTAATTTTGAAGATGTCTATACATACAAACATCCATTATATACTTTTCTATACTTTCCTAATTACTTGAAATTTTCATAACTAAAAGCTTAAACTAAAAAGGAACTCTTACATTTGGCTCCCATTTAGCACATATCTTTTTAATATGTGTTAAAGCATTTTGGTAACCATAAACCTCTTTATTATACCACCAGCCTCAGCGGTAGCAGCAAATTTTAAGTCTGGTACCAGCCTCTCCTTCAACTGACTACTCCTATGAGATGATGACCACTGCTTTTATTTATATCTGCATCATTATTCTACTTTATTAAAGCACCAGTAACAGAGATTGACTACTGGGACCTTTTACTGATCCCCTAACATTTGATAGTTCCTCTCTGTATTTCTATTTGACTTTATTTAGCATGGTAAGAATAGCTAACAGACAGTCAATCATAAAAGACTAGAAAACCACAGTGATACATAACTAGCAGAGAGAGACATGTCATATGCTATCTGAAGCAAGACAAGGGGGATGGAGGCTCTGTATAATCCTTTATCAGCCAACCAAAAGACAGGCATCCAGGGAAACTTTTTCCATGCTCCCAAACACTTAGCTAATATAAGCAAACACCAAGCCTTCAAGACCAGCAAAAAAAAAAAAAAAGTAATCAGTAGTTACATCTGAGAAATTATTCTGTCAGCAGAGCTTCTCTCTACAGGAAGACAAAATAGTTATTCAGCTGTGCTCTAACAGCAAACAGAGAAAAGCAGGTAGCCAATATGCATGCAGAAGACAGAGTAAGCTAAAGGTGTCTAAATCTTCCAGTAAAATTAGTAACAGGGCAGAGAACAGTGGGCTAAGTTAAAACTCCTGGAAGTTATAATGTCCATTAATAATTATAACAAGTTGCCACCAATAATTGCTGGCAATTATTGAGTACACGCTGTGCTCCATCTCCCTGTTTCATACCTCCCTGATTCTTTAAACCTCTATCAAGTTATTTTTGGTATGCTTCTTTCTCATTCCCCTGAATTACACAGTTGAACTGGATTGAGTCTGTGTCTAGTTCAAATCTGTAGCTACCACAGACTCTACCTAAGACCTTGCTAATACCTGGTCCTTGGGAAAAATTAATTAATGGAATTCAGTTGGAGAATATATTTTCCTGCAAACTAAAACCACAAGGAGACACCATTTCAAATCCACTATGATGTCTACAATCTAAAAGACAGTAACAAATGTTGGTAAGGATATGAAGAAACAGGAATCCTCATACACTCCTAGTGGGAACATAAAATGGTACAGCCACTTTGGAAGACAGTATGGCAGTTTCTTAAGAAGTTATACATAAACTTACCATACAACCCAGCAATTCCACTCCTATGTATATATCCAAGAGAAATGAAAACATATATCCACACAAAGATAGGTACTCAAATATTCATATCAGCATTATTTACAATAGCAAAAAAATTAAGACAACCCAAATACCATCAACTGCTGAACAAACAAAATATGTAGTCTATCCACACAACAGAATATTATTCAGTAATGAAAAGGAATGAAGCACTGATAATGCTGTAACATAGATGAACCTCAAACATATGCTAAGGGAAAGAGGCCACAAAAGAGCACATATTCTATGATTTCATTTATGTGAAATGTCCAGAATAGACAAATCTATAGAGACAGAAAATAGATTAGTGGTCACCTGAAGCTGGGGGTGGAAATGGAGAATAAGTGCAAATGCACAAGGTTCTTACTGGGGTTATTAAAATGTTCTAAAATGGATTATGGTGATGGTTGCAAACTTTAAAGATCACTGAATTATACAATGAAAATGGGTCAATTTTATGATATATAAATTATACCTCAATAAAGTTATTTTTTAAAAATATTTTCCTAAATGATAACCAAAGCAGTATTTTAAAACAGTTAGCTAACTACTTGGAAAGGGAAGAAGCATGATGGAGGGGGCAGAGATGGGCACTAGACTACTCTGAATATACCTTGTATGTACTTCTTAAAAGTTCCCTTTGGAACAATGTGAATGGTCCATAAAATATAAAACTGAAAGGGAAAAAAAGCAATCCCTAAAAATTGAAGACAAGTAAAAACAAAGGAATCAAATTATATATTGAATTAATGACTTAACACAGGGAGAAATTTTTTCAAATGACTTTGCAATAATTATTTGTGTAGTTAAAAGATGGAATAAGAATAAAAAGAACCCTGCAAAGAAATCACAAACTTCTCAGTAATCATACTGCTAATAATAATGATATTGTTATTTTGATTCAAATATATTAATATTATATACACACACATATATATTCTACATATGTGTATATATACAATTTTACTGATATATATGTGTTATGTGTGTGAATGGAAAAAGGAATAACATGATAATATTGTTAGGATCCAGATTTTCAGCATAAGGAAAGAAAAGGATACAAAGACAAAGTCGAAAGTTAAGTAAAACTCTGCAATTCCAAATCTGAATTAGAAAGATTGATATAAATTCATGATTTTTTAAAAGAGAAAAACAGACATATTGGCTGGCTCTGGTCATTGGAGAAAACCTAAAAACAATGACCAAACCAGTGGCAATCAGGTTGTGGGCAATAAAGAATTAGAGTTTCTTGCAGAAATTGCTAATTTCAGGTCTGGGATAGGAAATATATAAAAAAGAAGTCTGGAGCACCTCATCACACAAAAAATATAGGAAATAATCAGAGAATATGGGGGTCATGCCAAAGGACTCAGAGTCAAATTGAAGAGGCTCTTACTGACCAAAGATGGAGCTATTTGAGAATTAGGAAGAATGATTGCTGTAGTTGATGGGAACACATTTAAGTCTGTTAAAAATCCATGAGTTGTAAGGGATACTTAGTCTTACAGAGAAAAAAAATATCCACAAAGGAATTTTCATTGGTTTATTTTTGGAGAATCTTAGAGAACCAACTATTCTGAAAACTGGAAAACAGGGGAAAGACAGGAGCCTTTATCTTTCACCTTGTTTTTCCTGTAGGAACTCTCTCTCATGGTAATTGATGAGGTATAGTTCTTCTTTATAGAAGTATTCTGGTTAAGTAATGAAGAAGGAATTATAGAATTTGAGTATCACCATTTTACAACTTCTAATGAAATAATGGAACAGGCAACGATGACCTGTAGCTGCTAAAACTATTAGGTGAGGAGCTGATAGGGAACGTAGAATGGATAGTTCAAGCTGATAATACCTAACCCATCGATCAATCTTAACACAGTGGAAGAGTGACAACAGACATTACGTGTTTCCTGATGAGCAGCAGTAATATCATACAACTCACCACTACCACCCTTGCCACACACTGCCCCAAAGGAGCCTGAATATAGTCACACCTCAGGTCAGTTCCTAGGCAACACAACAGAGGGATGGAGGATCTTGTTAAAAGACATCACAGAGATGCCATCAGCATCTTTAAAAATCTTACAGGACAAAAGACCTGATTTCCTCAACAAATTGTGAGGGTTGGATGAGACTTAATGCAATATGCAGACCTTGGCTGGATTCTGATTCAAATCATTTTTTTAAAATGAGGTAATTAGGGGAAATCTGAACACTGATCAGATATTTGATGATTATCAGAAATTAATTTCTACAGTGTTATATTATAGCTTACTTAAAGATTAAGAGTCTTTATCTTTCAAAAGGGGCGTAAAAATCTTAATCATAATATAAGCTGGTCACAGAGATGAAGTGTAGCATGTAGAATATAGCCAATGTTTCTGTGACATCTTCCTATGTTGACAGATAGTAACTGCACTAGTTGGGGTGAGGATTTAATAATGTGTGTAACTGATGAACCACTGTGTTGTATACTTGAAACCAATATAATATTGTATTAACAACTATACTTCCATTAAAAAAGGCATCTTTATCTCTCAGAGATACATACTGAAATATTTACAGATGAAATTACATGAATTCTGGGGTTTCTTTCAAAATAATCTACTGGGGTTTGAGGAGTGAATCAGGATATAGACAAAATAATAGTTGCCATGAGTTAGTAACTGTTAAGCTAAGTGATAGGTGATGGCAGTTGTTCATACTAGGTTCTCTACTTTCATAAATGCGAAATTTTTCATACTGAATTTTTAAAAACAGACAGAAAACATTTTCTTGCCAGAGTTGTCCAGAAAAGGAACAGCTCCATTACCCCATCTCCTCTGTCCTGGCAAAGTTTTAATTAACCGATTCAGTGTTTATTCCTTGGCCCCTGAGTTTCCCTTTGTAAGGGATTTAGCTGCAGTCAGGGTCAATAGTGACATAGTGGATGGACTTGCCTTACATTACTCCTGTGAGACGAGTACACTGAATACTCACAGAGAAGGCAGGTCTGTGGTGAAAATACAAAGTAACGAAAGAGCTGTTCTGAAAAAAACTCTTCTGTTCATAAGGATTTCGAGGGGATAACTCTAGCCCTCCAAGAAAGCTCAATAATATTCTTGTTCCCACTCTATCTATGGCAACTTGGCAAGTTCATGTTCCTGGTTATCACTAAATCCAAAGCATTCCTGAGGATACCCTGTGGTTCCACAAAAATATACATTACCTCCACACTTTCCTAAGTCTACCCATGCTGCAGACTGCCAGCATTGGTTCCAAACCAGAGTCCCCAAGAATTAAGCCCTAAACACATAATTTTCCCAGGTTCTTAGGAATTCCGGGATAGCTACTATTCTACCTTCAACCAGCAGGTGGCACTAACTCACCAACTAGGACATCACAGAGGCCTCAGGCCCTGCAGTCAATGCCTGGAGATACTTTATTTTCTTCATTTATTTATATTAGCCTGCTGAAGTGCTCCTTCTAATCTATCAGCCTCTCCTACAGCAACTGGATATGGGAAAGCTGTCTGAGAAAAAGCTTTGTTTCGTTAGGCTAAAGTGATTGAACATAGTCTTATAAAAATAGGGCTGTACTTTCTCAAAAGCAATCCAGACTCAAAAAGGATTTCCCTCCTTAGAAGAGGGGAGCCACAGGAAGGCCATGTGGCCATGGGAACATTGCTGAGACACCACTGCTCCTGGGTGTGATGGGTCCTACAGAGTTGTGCTTACAAGCACATATACAAATTCAGCTACTGAGGTGCTTGCTATGGGCTGAATGTTGGTGGCCCCTCAAAATTAACGTTGAAGCCCTAACTCCCAACATGATGATTTTGGGATGCAGATGAGGGCATGAGAGTAGAGCCGCCATAATGAGATTAATGCCCTAATAAAAAGATGAAGAGACATGAGATCTCTTTCTCTGCATGTCTATACCAAGGAAAGGTCATGTGAGGACATAACCAGGAGGAGGGCCCTCACCAAGAACCCCACCATGCTAGCACCCAGACTTTCAGCCTCCAGAAACACAAGAAAAAAATGTTTGTTATTTAAGTGACCCAGTCTACGGTATTTCATTATAGAAACCCAGTGCTATAATTAATCAAACGTTTTAAGATCATCAAAGCAGGATTATATGCCTTCACTCCATCCTTCTAAAGCATCAAAGCCAACAACTCTCCCCCCCCTCCATATTCTGCGTCCATGAATAGCCAGTCTTGACTCGGCCAAGCAGACTTCTAATAACCAGATTGCCAATGGCAGGGCCAAAGTATAAGTGAAGAATCACATTTCATCATGCAAATAATTAGCAAGTTTGGGATTTAGGCTGCAACAGCTTTGCCTCCAGGCCAATCCTGATCTTCCTTTCGGAGTCTCACTCTCACCCTTGTTCCCTACCACATACAGAGAAGGAAGGCTCAGTGATGCCTGTGGAGGGCAGCAGAACTTCTAGTTCTTCTAGGCATGTTCCCACAAGCAACAGTGACCCCAAACTTCAGAGACCCTACCTGGAAGTGCAAAATAATGGTCCAGATCAGGCCCAGGGTCAGCTTGGGGTTGCCATCTGTGATGTCATCATTGCGAATATTCACTAGTTTCACCTGAAAAAGAAACAAAAGATGGTATCAAAGATCTGGAACTTTTTGGTTTGATTTTATTCTTACAGATTTTCCTCATTTATATACAGTTAAATTAATTTTTTGGGGGAGGAACATAGTTCTATGAGTTTTAGCATATATGTAGATTCATGTAACTACCACCACAATCAGAATAACAGAACAATTCCATCACCCCAAAAGGTAACCTCATCTGCCCCTTTGTGGTCAAACCCTGCCCTGACCCCTAACTTCTGACAACCACTGATCTGTTCCCAGTTTTGCTTTTTCTAGAATGTCACATAAAATGGAATCACACAGTATGTAATTATTTGACATTGTTTTTTTTCCACTCAGCATAATGCCCTTGAGATCTCATTCAAGTTACTGCACATATCAAGAGTTTGTTCCTTTTGACTGTCAAATGGTATTCCATTGCAGTGACACACTGTACTGCGGTTACCCCTTCATCCATTAAAGGTCATGTGTGTTGTTTCCAGTTCAGGGTAATTATGAATAAAACTCCTGTATTCATGTAAGGTTTTGTGTGAACGTGTTTTCATTTCTCCAGGGTAAATTTCTAGGAGTGGGACTGCTGGGTCACAGGGTATATGTGTATATTTAAAAGGAACTGCCAAACTATTTTCTGGCTTGATTTTACCAGTTTGCATCTCCATCAGCAAGGCAACCTTGCAAGCACATGGCATTATGAATTGCTTTTTTATTAAGTCATCAGACCCCTGACATTTTCTTTTCCTTTTCCCAAGGATGAGAGACAGATGCCTCTTCTCCCTCAGCCAGTCTTGGTGGCCTGCTCGCACCTCCATCTTCTCTCCTTTGTCAAAGATATCCCTACCTGCCCATGCCTTCCTTAGCATCTCATCTGCTTTCCTCCTGAAATCTCATTCCAAATACACAGTGTGCACAGACACACACGCCTCCCCTGCCAGGGTGACCAACCATCCCTGTGTGCTAGAAACGGAGGGATGTCCTGGAATGTGATGGGACTTTCAGTACTGAAACCGAGCATCCCAGGAAAATTAGCCTGCTTCCACCTCAAGCCCTGTGAGCCTCTTTTGTGGGAGAATTTCCCTCATGAGCTCCTATTCAACTGTGGCAAATTGTTCTTGAGCTGTTCTTTCTTTCCTCTGCAACTGAACTGAAATCTGTGTGCCTCTAAAGAATGCTAGTGACCCCAAGCAGAAGCTTCACTTTTCTTTTACACTGACAGTGACCTGGTGCTATGGACTGAATGCTTGTATCCCTCCAAAACCACAGAAAGATAATTTCCCAGGTTAATGAGAAATGCTGATAAAAGTGACAAAAATGAACTACAAAAATATGCATGTTGTTTAAGGTCACCTTGATCCCTGCAATTGCATAGCAACTATAGCTGTACCAATCTCTTCCACACAGCTTCAACAAATATTTACTTAGTGCCAGTTACAGACTCTTCTCTGAGTCCACTGTCCCTCCAAAATTAAATCCTAACACCCATCGAGAGGTGATTAGGTCATCAGGATGGAGCCCTCCTGAGTTGGATTAGTGCCTAATAAAAGAGACCCAAGAGAACTCCCCTGCCCTTCTGCCACATGAGAACACAACAAAAGAACAACTGTCTATGAACCAGGAAGTGCATCCTCACCAGACACCAAATCTGCCAGTGCCTTGATCTTGGACTTCCCAAGCTCCAGAACTGTGAGAAATAAATTTTGGCTGTTATAAGCCACCCAGTCTATGGTACTTTTGTTACAGTAGCCTGAGTGGACTAAGACCCCTGGGCAAGTTCCTCCCCTGTTCTGCATCTCAGTTGCCTCTTCTATATACTGGTAGTGGGAGAAGCTGTCCTTCCAGTCTGAAAATGCAGTTTCCTAGCCACTCCTTGCTAACAACCCACAGCTGGTAGGGTGGCGGTATCAGCCAAATCCGGATTCCTCAATCCCACACTACCAGCCTTCCTCCTCGATTGTGAAGCCTACTTCTACCTCCCTTGGCCAAACTACCCTCCAGTTTCCACTACCCCTTCCCTTGATGACTTCAGCACCTACTCCTACCCCTCTTCTCCCTCATCTTTTGGCGATTCAGCCCTCATCTAGATGATCTGCATGATACGGTACCTGCACCATTTGTCTGCATCCTCAGGTCTGATGACTTTCACTCTTACTCTGCTTTGGACATCTCACAGCTACAACTTGGACCCACCATTACCAAGAACTGCTCTGGAGTTCTCCATGCCCTCCTCTCAGTCCACTGTTCTAGCTGCCCACATATTTATTCTGTCACAGTAACTAAACCTACTCTTGGTCCTTTAATTTAGGCTTCAAGCTAATCAATTCTTCTCAATTTACCTTGGCCATTAAAGCCCCCCTCTGGTTCCCTCTACCTTTAAACACAGACATTTGAACCCTGCTTTCTCCAAGAAACCCTAGACACTTCAGTCTCCAATTCTCCTACTACTTTTCATTTATCAATTTATTTCAACAAATATTTATTAAGTGCCAAGTATGGACAATTCAGCATGACAGGTAATGAAGTGTGATCATATTCCCAGTACTCATAGGGCCTACAGTATGTTAGAGCAAACAGAGAAATTGTTGGCAGCCGCGCTCAGAAAATAGCGCTCAATGCAGGGCAGCCGGAAGGCCCCGAACTTCCTAATGACAAATCATCCCACACCACTAAACTACATGCTAATTGCGCCTTGGCATAAGGACCAATGAGACCCACCAAATGGTTATGCTAATAAGGCATATGGAGCCGCACCAACCAGGTCAGAGCATGAGAACTATATAAGCAAGCCTCTCCTTCCCCTCTGGGTCCTGCCCAACTCATTTGTTTCACAAAGAGCTGAAGAATAAAGCTTTCTGCAGAAGAATCCTGCTGTTGTTGCATGCTGTTCTTGCCGGCGAGGACAGGGCACGCGACAAGTGGTGCCGAATCCCGGGAACCAGAACATCACCGGCACAGGGAGGACCCTTCAGACATCTGGAGAGGATTCAGAACTGCAGGTCAGAAGAAAGCCCGGAGGGGTAAGTTCCGAGAGGCCCCTGCTTTTTAGGATGATGGTTGATGGTTCTCTGTAAATAAGGAGGCACCATGGGGAATGCACCGTCATTAGTCACGGCGCTGCAGACAGCTCTCAAAGAGCGAAACTTGAAGGTCTCCAGCAAAGTCTTAGGATCTTTTGTGAAGGAGATAGACCGTGTGGCCCCCTGGTTCATTTGTTCAGGGTCCCTCTCAATCCCGAGCTGGGACAAACTGGGGAAAGATCTTGATAGAGAGGAGGAGGAGGGTAGCCTGAGGGGAGGCACCAGGCCCCTCTGGAAACTGATTAGAGCTTGTCTGCAAGATGAGAGATGTGAAAAGGTAATAAAAGAAGGTCAGAGAGCATTGACAGATATCCAAGAGAGCATGTCAGAAACGGAACGGGAAACAGAGAGCGCGCGCGGCCGAAAAAAGGCCACAAAAACGAAGGTAAAGAAACCTCAGAGTGAGGGAGAAAGCCCGCCTAGGGCAAAAGCGAAAGAGCCCCGAGAAGCGAGTGACGATCGCCTCGGAGAAAATAGTAAATACCCCTGGAAAGAGTTGAGGGACCTCCAACTCTCCAATAGGGAATCTGAGGAGGAATTAACGTCCGCAGAGGAAGGGGAAGAAAATAAAACCGCAGAGTGTAGAAGTAAGGGAACCAGCAAAGTTGAAAAGCGGACCAAGGAAAAAATGAAAGCAGGGTGTCCCCCGACGCCCTTTGCCCCGCCACCTTACGTGAGTGGCGCACTCTCCTTTTGCCACCCAGATACTCTTCAGGCAATTAGACAAATGTTTCCTGTATTTGAGGATAANGGTAATGGTTGGAACAAGCTGTGGGAGCACTACATACAGCACCCCTTAATGGCAGGGCCTGTGTGGGTTCCCCATGCTCTCCGAGGGTCCCCAAAACACCTCATTTAGCACTATGCATTCTGTGCGCACACAGCATGTTCTGACTACTAATGCTGACACCAGGACCACAGCTTCTCTACACGTTCTTCTGTAGCCATATGTGGCAGAACTTGATTCTGGATGTGAGGTTAATGGGAATGAAGGCTTTGGCTCTATAGCTCTAAAATCACAGTTAAATGCTATTATAAGGATAGTGTGGAAGGTCTTAATTGCATATTGCACAGAATAAGTAGACTCAACCTTATAAAAAAACCTGGCAAAAGAAGCTAGAGGTAGTCAATTTTAAACTAGGGAATGAGCAATTACCCATGTTCAATAAAGAAGTGAAAACATCCAAAATGAGAGGCAAAAGTCAGGAAGAGACCTGTTTTCCAGAAAGATGGGTATCCACTTAGGAAGGCCATCCTTCGCCTCAGCATGTAATAGCCAGAGTAACCAAAGCCTTGATGATATATGGCTGTTCAACGTGATGCTCCAGAGAAAGGTATTTCCCGCCGCCACTCAATCCTGGATGTGGTACAAGCCGCGGGAGAGAAGGCCACCTCCACCCAGTGCCTCTGGTGCCCTGCCTGGGCTCATCCACTCTCCATCCAAAGTGCATGGACTCTGTCCCAGGAGCACAAGCAGGGATGGCTATCGACTGCTTAAATATTTTCTCCTGCTCACTTTCCAATGTTGCTTTTATTTTACTAAAACTGGAATTGAACCATCACTAGATTATACCCAGTTCACCTGTAAATGTCAAACTGGCAATAGTTCAAGGCTGGTGAAAATTAAGGTACCTCTGTTGTGGGTGCCTGCACAGAGGAAACATCGCTCAGGTTTAAGTAGGCAGAGTGATCCAATACATAGAAAGATGAGGGTAGAAGCATCTCTCTGGGTGCCCCCCCAAAACTTCTAAGCAACATTCCCAAACTAGAATAACCTACAGAGATGTTGCAGTCTCTCTGGGCAACAGGATAACTTCTTCAGTCAAAGGTTTAGGAAAAATCTTTTAGCAAGAATCTTTTTTCAATCATTTGCGCTAAACTCATTATGAATATAGCTTAGAGAATGACAGAGCCTGTATAATTAAAGATTCTAAAACAATGGGAAGGGAGATCAATAAGGTGAAAAGACAACTTTAAGAAGACAGGGACTAGGGATATTGCCTAGACCCTGTCTCTGGAGAAAGATTATAGGGCCTGCAATTTAGGGCCTGCAAGCAGGAAATGCCCTTTGCACACACTCTTACCATTACTGCCATGTACTCCCCATCAAAAATAAATACCCTCAGATCATGCAGTTAAATTTCTGTCCTCGACAGCAGCTAGAGATATTAATGACCAAGGCAGAGTAACTCCATGCAGTGAGTTGTTGGCAAACAACAGGCTGTTTTGAAAATAAACGACTCGGTGTGTGGTGAGAACCTAGAGACTAGTGAGGTGGAGAGAGAGAACCAGTTAGTCTGGAGTGTGGAACCATGAGCAATTAACTGTCATGCTGTCAACTAAACTTTCCATAATTCTGCAAACCAGACACAGCAAGGCCACCAGAAAGCTATAGGTCTCCAGGTCACAAAGGAAGTAGACACCTTCAAACACCATTATTCTTTTTGTGCCAGCCACTCTCAGATAAGCAAAACAATCCCCACTCCAGGATCATCTAACAGCAGCAAGAGGCACAATTAGTTTTAACCACTTTCTTTGGGACCCAAATTCCCAGGTGGAAAGGGAAGAAGGTGATTGGTAACTGAGCTGCTTGGAGACCTAAAGAACCTCGAGAACCTCAGGCCCTCTGCTGGCCCTTGCAGTGCCAACTGGGTTGCTGGCATCCCCAGGAGGACCTACTACGTCATCATCATCTTCCTCCTCCGGCTCCTCGCTGTTTGCATGGCGCCAGGAGGGCATGCTCACCAGACGGAGGGTCTTCAGCCCTGCTGGCTCCTTTGGCCACCAACCAAGGCAAAGACATGACAGAGTAACGGGAAATTCACAATACAAAAATGAAAAGGAAATGAACATAACATCAGAAGTTAAAAAAAAAGGTGAAAATAAATATGAAAATACCCTCCCACCTCCAAAAAGATGCAAAACCAAACCAAGACCAGAGCAGACGGTTATGCTGAACGCTTATGTTGAAACACATCCTCAGTTCTCCTTGGCCACCCACCCTCTCTGCTTTTGTGAATCAACTAAGGGTGAAAGAGATGACAGAATAACCATGAAAGATATCTGTATGGTTTTTCAGTGAAAAGATGACATCCTATGAATATCTACACAATCTGTAGTTTTTCAAAAGTTAGGAAAAGAAGAGTGGAATGGCTTTAATCTGTTTTGTAAGCAATGTCACCAAAAAGGATCACCTTTCAATGCAAGATCCTGTCAAGTCCCTCAAATACCCCAGCCAAATTGCCCAAAATACAATTTTCTAAGAGCTGAAGAGTGAAGTCCAGCACAGTAGAACTGCTGAGAGTAATTCTAATTACTTTTGAGATTTATAAATAGGGGCAGGGAAGAATCAGAATTCACTACTACTAGCTGTGCTAATAAAAGCATCTGTCAATTTCAGGCCATTAAATTATAAAATTAATTCTATTGCAAGTCAAAGAAGATATGAAACCAAAACAAAGAACCCAGGGGAAGCCAAGCCCCAATCCTAGAAGAAGCTGAGTATTACTTAAGCAGTGACACCTAACGTGTCAAACTCTGTTCTTGAAACACAACAAACAGTGACTAAGCATTCACCAAAGGCAGGGGGTGGGCAGCGCTCCTCTGACTCCACGAGCTGTGCACCTCTTCAATCTCTCTGTCCCTACAAGTGTCTCCAGTGTTCAGCCCCGGGCCTTCCCAAGTGAAAAATATACTGTCTACGATGCTAGAGATAGGACACCAACTGCACAGGATCACCTGCTTCCATTAGGCTCAAATATATGAAACAGTGGGCCCACAAGTAGGGTTATTTTAACCTGCAAACAGAGCAAGTCTAAGAACTATCATTTGACAAGCCATCAGATAGGATTTATCTTGAGATACTTTGGTGTTTTTCCAAGCAATGTTTAATACTTTTTAGTAGGAAGCAGGCACATTTAATTATCCAAGGAGCCCAAATGTACTGCATCCAGGGCTATGTTCAGACATCAGTATCAGCACTTCTCCAAACCTGTGAGACTCAGCAAATCACAGAAAAGACAAAGTTGGAAAAATAACTCTAAATTCCCAGGCTTTTAAATGTGAACTTCAGGTCCTTAGCTGAACACAGAAAATAAAACAATTCACAATAGATGGGAAAATAGGAGAAGTCTATATAGACTAAAAGTAAAACTCCAGGAAGAAAAAGACACCTTATTAAAAAATCTTTGAATGTGAATCCACTATTTCTGAAATACTAATATCTACAAATAAGGAACAAATAAGCAGAAAACATTTTGATATGAAAGGAGTGTAACTGATATCTAATTCCATCAAGAAATGAGAATATGATACTTCAATTTAAATTAAGATGAATTACATCATTTGTAAACTATAAGTCTGAGACAGAAATAAAGTCTAGCAATAAACACTTCTACTTCTTCCTCCTATGTAACAGAGTAGGCAGTGATGACCGCCACCCTAGAACTCAGCAAGATGGCCCAATGTGTCATTAATAGGACCATCCTTGTGAAGTCATTCATTAGGAGAAGAGGGAAGCTCACCAGTTTGATGCCAGAGAGGACCTCTAGCAGAGAGATCAGGTTGTGGCCATCCCGCAGATCTTCATAAAGGTCATTGATATGCTTGCGGACCTGTACATGAGAATCAAACAGCCTAATTTTTATCTGATCTTGGATTATTTTATTATCTATATAACAATCTGTTTCTATATGAACACAAATTAAAGAATTTGAAGCTGTAGACAATAGTAAAATTCAGGAATTTTCAGGTTAAAGTATAATACATATGAAAAGTTAACACTTATCAGAAGCATGTGTTTTTTAAATTAAAGCAGGTCTATTACACATTCTAGCCAACCCTGAACAATAGCCCAGAAAGTTTGGACGAGGTGGGGAGTCTTAATTTTCCTGGAACATCTCAGGAATTTGCATGGACCTAAATGTGAAATGATGGTCAATGATGGCCAGATGAGTCAAGCCAGAGTTAGAAAAGCCTTCCAAAGTCCCACAAAGGAAACTACAATGCTGGGCACTGAGTGTTTCACTGGGTAAACCTATTATTTAACATCCCTCTTACTAAATATTTCTCATGGTGAATTTGAGAATTATTTTCCTTCTGGGTGGGAAACATAATTCCACTTTTATACCTGAAACTATGGAAAAAATAGATCTTACTTTGGAAAATTGTTTATTGTCAAACACTGCTCAATGCTATACATGTTTATACATGTTGTCTATGCCTCACATTTATATGGTAGGTATTATTATTTTAACCTGAGGAAATGAGGCACACAGAAGTTAAGTAACCTGCCCAAGGTAACAAGTGAAAAACTGACCTCAGTTTGGTCTTTCTGATTTTAGTCTTTACCATTAACTACTATGCTTTATAATTAGCCATAATCTCATTTAATTTATTTAATCCAAACAATTGCCCTGCAAAGTTTATTTATTTATTTCCCCTATTCCACAGAAGCAACTGCAGAAACAGGGGCACTGGGAAGTTAAGGCCACCCAGAGCTTAAGGAAGGGGTAGGTCTCCTGGTTCATTCCAAGTCCTGTGAGAGCTTCACTGAGTGACACTCACACCATGGACTAGTGGAAACTACAAGGAAGAAGATTCATTTTCAACATAATTTTCTAGACAACAATGAAAAGGGCAACTTCCAGAAGTAGTGGATTTCTAGTCCCTAGAATTTTTCAAGCAGAGACTGGGATATTGGGATTTCTATATTTGAGTATAAAACTGAACTGTAGTCATTTCTAATTTTAACAGTTTAGCATTCAAAAACAGAATAAGCATCAGAAAAGATAAAAGCTGAAAATAATCTGGGAAGATTTCCCAGGAGAGAAAGAATTTGAAGGATTAGAAAATGTTTTAATAGAAAGAAAGAAGATGAGAAAGTCATATAAGACAAAGTACAGAAGTAGAAATATGCAGGTATGCATGTATGTGTGTATGTGTGTATGTGTGTGTGCATGTGTAAAGAGATAAGAATGTGGTGAGTAGATTACCCAATAGGAGAAAATTGTTTATGACGAATTATGTAATATCCTTCAAATGCTGAAAGAATATTTCTTTCAATTTTTTTGTGCTACTCATACAATGTATTGGGTATAGACGAGATACACTTTTTAGTTTAATCTGCAATATTGACATTTTCACCATCACTTTAAATCTAAACAAAATAAAACATCTAGCTCAAACTTGTAGCATTTGTTGATTTCCATGGTGTAAATACTCCCATGTGACCAATTTTCAGCTACTGATATAATATCACTAAATGTGATGTTGGGAAGATGTGTACAGTAACATACCATTGTATAGTATTTCCACCACAGAGATACAATAGACATAATTAACCTTGAGCATAAAATAATAATGTACTAAAATAATTATGAAATGATGTATTTATTACCTTTCTTTTACATGACTTATTTAATTGTAAGCTTATATAATTTAATTTTTAATAACAACTATGCTTAGCACTCAGCTCACAAAATTTCCAAAAACTTAATATTGGCTCTCATAAGCACATGTGAGCTGGCTCCAGCATACCAGTGGCTCCAAGATTTCAAAGCCTCTCCCTCAAATGGGTCCAAGGTTTCAAGACTGGGGCTAGAACAAACACAGTGCACAACTAACAGAAATAAGCAGATTATGAAGGTTAGAAAGGAAGGGATGTAAGTTCAATTTTAAGTATGTTCAATTTAAAATAGCAGCAAGTAAACTACAAATGGAAATATTCTTAAAGCAGCTGGAAATACCAGAATTCAATCTGGGTCAGCTGAGAACTTAGGTTTAGAAGTCATATGCAGAGAGGTGCTAGCTAAAAACATGGGAAATATTGGCCTTTCTGGGTTAGGGGCACGAAAGAAGAGCACAGGGCTAAGGATTACGCCTGAGGGAATAGCCAAAATTAGAAGGCAGGAGATGGAAAAGCAATCAACAAAGGGTGGGGGGAAGGCAGATGAAAGACATAGGCAAGAAACCAAGAAAGTATAATCACCAGGGATGACCACCAGCATCAAACGCTATAGGACAAGGAGAATGAGGACTAAGAAAGGGTTTTTTAATTTTCCTACAAAAAAGAGTCATTTTTGTGAGAATAATTTTCTAGAGAGTGGTGGAATGTAAATCGGATTAGAAATGAATGGTAGGTTTAAGAAAGTCAGAAAATATTAAATACTTGGTATAAGGGTTAAGAAGAGAATCGACAACAATGAGGGATTTATTTTTTATTATACCTAACACATGAACATAAGGAATAAAAAGTGGGAGTGGGCATCAAATAATTATTTAAATAAATTATAGTAGGGTTGAAGACCAAGTGAGATCGTATTATCAATAGGATATACTAAGTACCACAGAATACTGAAAATAAAAAGGCACTTCAAAATGTAAAGTTAATTTCACATCAAGGTCTAATATCTTCTTCTGAAAACTCCAATTGTTTTACACCTCTGAATAGCAAAATTAAATCACCTTGTAAGAAACTTAGATGAAAACTAGCTTATTATATTTCTTGGTCTTTGTCTGATTACAATAACCAAATAACTATGAAAACCAGCAAAGACAGAAGTAATGGGGGAGGGGAGGGGAGTGAGTTCTTTTCCTGGAAGAATTTTTAGCAACAGAGGACAATAGTCTGTTTCTGAAGTACACTGGACACAGCTCTGCCTAGACAAGGTACAGAACTAGCTGACATTTACCAGTGCTTCTATATAAGTCAGAAAATTTTCAGATACAGAACTGGGATGTGGAGACAATTCAATTAACATTCCAAGATCACACACCTAAGTAAATGGCCAGGTGGATCAGAAAGATCTACCCCATTCTAAAGTCTTTACCTCTTCTGCACATGCTAGGTTGCCTCTAAAGTTTTCTACAAATCTTGTATGAAAAAGTCCAATAACTAATACTGCTGTATGATATATGTGAAAGATGCTATGAATTCTCATCACAAGGAAAACATTTTATTTACTTTTTGCTTTCTCTTTTTACTGTATCCATGCAATGCTAGATGCTAGCTAACATTATTGCAACAATAATTTCACAATATATGCAAGTCAAATTATCATGCTGTATACCTTAAAACTTACACAGTGATGTGTCAATTATATATAAATAAAACAGGAAAAAGAAAAGAAAAAGTCCACTAGACTAAGCATCAGAAGTTTTAGAGGCAGTCAAGTGAAGCCAGGAGTGCTCAAGAATCATCATTATATATGTTTCTTTCCAACAAATAATAAGTTATTCTGTCAACATACGAGTGAAAAAGTTCAATAATCTTTCCTGCTTGCTCTCCTTGTGAAAATCATTATCAAAATTAGTGGAAGTCTCCAAAGAATATATGCAAATAGCTAACAAACTCATGAAAGGATGCTCAACACATTGGACATAAGGAAAATGTAAATCAAAACTACAGTAAGATACCACTTCACACCCACTTGGATAGTTATAATTTAAAAAATAATAACTGTTGATGAGGATGTAGAGGAACTAGAACCCTCATACATTGCTTGTAGGAATGTAAAATAGTGTAGCTGCTTTGGAAAACAGTCTGACAGTTTCTCAAAAGGCTACACACAAGTTACTATATGACACAGCAATTCTACTCCTAGGTATACACTCAAGAGAACTGAAACTCATTGTTCATAATAGCCAAAAGGTGAAAATAACCCAAATGCCTATCATTTGATAAGTGGATAAACAAAATGTACATCCATACAATGGAATATTATTCAGCAATAAATACTGATACATGCTGACTAAGAGATATCACAGATAATTAGAAGGTTCTAATTGGGGACATTTTGAGATACTTTACTCTGGATTCTCTTAAGTGTGATAAATACAATATGGAACAACAGTCCTTTCATTTCAAGGACTTGAAGCATAGATACCTAGAAGGGAACAATAATTAAGAAATTATTTATAACATTTTCTCCAGAGACTATTGCCATGCTGATATTGTAGCATTTACTGTAAAGGAAGCAATCCTTCAAAAAAAAATATTGATACATGCTATAATGTGGATGAACAATGAGAACATTATACTAAGTGAAAGAAGTCAGTTACAAAGGAAAGGACCACATACTGCATGATCCCATTTATACAAGATATCTAGCATAGGGAAATGTACAGAGACAGAAAGCAGATTAGTATCTGCCTAGGGCTGGGGGAATGGCATGTGGGGGGATGGCAGGGGTAGTTAAGGGTGATGACTAAAGGGTACAAGGCTTCTTTTTGGGGTGATGAAAATGTTCCAAAAATAGACTGTGGTGATGGTTACACAACTCTGAATATACCAAAAGTCACTGAATTATATACTTTAAATGGGTGAACTATATGATAATTAAATCTTTAAAAAGCTATTTTTTTAAAATTAATGAGTGACTTAATTTTGAGAGACCCTAACTCAGGACAATCCTCCCCAGTCCCTGTGCTTTAAGCCAAGGAAGCTCTACTCTCCCACTTTTTAAAGACTGGCTTGAAGTTATGAAAAAATAACAGACTTCCCCCAATTTCTGAGCACCTTTAGCAAAGAGAATAAATTGCACTTAAGTGCTTGGAATTAGAACCTGAGTCCAAAGAGACTTTAAAGATTACTTAATTCTAACACTCTCAGTTT